TAAACGACAAATGAAAAATACGAGAAACCAAGTAACAATGAGATGCTTTCGAAGCGACTGAGTGAAAGAAGGGCTGTGTATTTGGTGACCCTGTAAGGACGGGGAGGGAAATATGAGGAGGAGTCTGGGGAAATGGGGTAGTATAACGGGGAGGAACCGTGACGAATTCAAAATGCACCACGTCTACATAAAAAAAATTCAAGAATTCAGCGGAATATCGTCAAATCCCACTGACAATACACTAACAGAAGTACGGGGGAGAACAACAGCTAAAACCCGATCGACCGCGCGTATGCTGAGCGAGAGAGAGACACACACAAAATGAGACTGAGAGCATGAGTAGCAACCATCTGACACCGGTCATTAGTTGATCTCATGCTAACACAGAAATAAACACCAAACAAATCAGGAAATATTCACGGCAGGGTGGCAGTATAAGTAAAACATGAGTAGATAGACAACTAAAAACCCGATTAATAGAAGTACAAAAATACAAATCACTTCTCATTGAAATAAATTGCATGCCAAAGCAGTTCATTCTTGGGAGAATGGCGGTGAGAACATGGCATGACTTCCGTTAGAATGCCGCCAGCTCGTTGTCTCGTGTAATCGCTTGTTGTTGCATTGCTGCTTCTTGAATGTCCATATCGACAAGCGTACGATCTTCTTCGTCCACTTCCGATTCAGAATCCGAGGCATCGTGATCAACAACACCACCAAGAGGCGACGGGCCCAGTGACGACGTCAACGGTGATGGTCCTGATGAAGCTAGAAACGAGTTAGTAAACACAATTACTGAATAAAATATCATCTCTTCGGCATCGAGCTGCCAAGAAGCAGGAGAAGAGAGATCCACCCACTAGGGCTCTATAGCGCGCTTGAAACGGGGAAAATTGGAAAACGAAAAATTCCCCCAATTTAAAAGTGGCCCCTTTGGTAGGGATGCCGCAACCACTATCTACTCATTTTCGCTGCAGACGCTGGGGAAAAGGGGGGGTGTTGACTGGGAGTGAGTTTGGAGCAGCGCCGTTTTCGTTTTCAACTGTTTCCACCTGTAGGAGCGCGCAAGCAACAAAATTGGTAGAAAACCTATTTTCTGCTGACACGTCCCCCCCAAGCGTCTGCAGCAAAAATGACTGTATAGTTGTTGCGGCATCCCTACCATAGGAGGGCAGGCAGGCACGGAGGGAGGATAAGATGATAGAGGTGAGACGACAGGTCTTCCTCATACTTCGAGCCATGGGAGCTCGTAGGCCCTCCAGGAGGCCCACGTTGCAGCGATGCGGCGTTGTACGTAGTGTCACGTGCGCGAAATTCGCACCAGTACCTGCTTCATTTATTGTGGATGGCGGTGGTGGCGTCGAATCCTTATACAGAACATGCACTGAGCGCTCAATGCTACGACTTGCCAGAAACTCCCCCCCCCTAAAGACATGAAGCGCTATTAGTTATGCCCTGTAAGAACTCAGAGAATCTTGCTAGGTAGCGTTCACTCTTTGCGATGATGACCCGCCCGCGTCTACACGCTGCCAAACAACAATAGCGCTCCAATGGTAGGCGGGTAAGTAGCAACAGATCAGTATTGGTCGGCGTCATGCTAGTGCTTTGGGAGAATAAAGAAAAATATAAGGGTTTGGGTTGCCTAATCATATGGTCTGGTATTGATTGGCGCCGGTCGCTGGGTTTTGAGAGTATAGGAGAATAGGAGGGCACCAGACTGTGTGCTGATCCCAAAAACTTGTCATCTGGAGGCACACTAGCCCTCTCGTTCTCCTACTCTCTCAAAACGCTAGCGGTCGGTGCCGTCCATAGCTGAGTTCCCGTCTAGCATTGCGCTCTATTGCAGTGGCAGCGAGCGTAGCGCATCGCAGCGCGTCGACGCGCGTCACCGCGAATTCTTAGCGCTGCTTTGTAGATGCCCATTCAGGGAGCCAACATGATACCGTAACCCTGGGTCAACGTTAACTTGTCATCTGGAGCTATCGCGAATGTAAGGATTTAAATAGAACTCACTTCGATCACCATGCTCCTCTGATAGTGCATCAGTTGGATCGTACGTCGAATACATGCACTTCTTCTTTCGTTTACAGAACTTACACCATTGATCGGTATTGGCGATTCCAAATCGTGCGCGACATTTCTTCATGTCAGACACATCTGAACCAATTGGTATTTCAACAGTTTTTCTACGATTTCTCGCCAATTGCGCTAAATATCCGATTGTTTCAGTCTTTCAGTCTCGTTCGTTACACGACATCCGAACTCTGCAATTTTTGCAACCATTCAACTGATATAGTAGCCGGATAGAATCGGATCTATAGGCACCTTTTTCGCCTACGTCATATTGGAACTCACTTAATCATTTCCCGATATTACCCTACCGCTCTGCGCAAATGTCGCTTAAACAACAAAAACTAGTTCTAACTGAACACAATCATCGTTCCGTACACATTCTTCATATGCACAAAGCTTCATGGTTCCGAAAAAAGCTCCTCTTTGCTTTGGGCGATATTTTTGACACAATTAACCCACCCTTGAACACTCTGCAAAAGTTTACAATCATTCAAGAAGCCCTTCTGCTGGCTTTGAATGAACTCGAAGCTAATCAAGGTCTTTAAGATCATCACAAAAACTTTGACCGTTTAGATCTATTCTCTGCGAAAAAATCAGCCCCCCCCCCCTCTTAACATTTGAATTTTTCCTCACGAAAGAACCAGGTAAAAATGCACCAAATACAATGAGCGGGACCCACATACTAAATCTCGGCAAAAAGTCCAACCACGGCACTAATCAGCAAGGGAGAGGACCATTTGAATCCCAAATTGTTCAAATTTGGGATGATGCGTAACCTACGGAGTCTATACTTTATGATAGCCACAGTGGGTCATATTTGGAGCTATGGAAAACTTGTAACTTGTCCTTTCACTTTTCTCGGCTGCTACACCCATCCCCACCCTAAAGCCTGTGTTGTACAGTTTAATTATTTCTCATAAGTTAATGTGCTCTTTGGGGTGCGGGGGGGGGGTGCGGCGGGGGAGAGACGAGAGAGGAGTGGCCGCCTTTTCCGCCAAGGGTTGATTCATCCTCTCCGATGCTCCCTTCTACCTGAGCATGGCAAAAGTCGGCGTTAGTAACCTTGGAGGGTACATACAAAGGACTTTTTCGTGCAGAACAAGAGTTATGGAAATAAGATTTTTCGCCTGGGCGCGCAAAGCGAGGAAAGAGCTCCGCGGTGAACCGGGGGCGGTGGAAAATGGATAACTGCTCCACTCAGATGGTGCCAATCCCAGTTCTTGTACAAGAGTCCCTTTAAATGCGCCCTCGCCCGGCTCCCTCGCCTTCGCCCTCCTTAGCTGAGCAGCGCTAGTAGCGCTGTAGTTCATCACCGTTTGCTCAGAATATTCCGCACTGGGGTGTTCTTCATTTCCTTGGGCGCACTTGCAACGCAGGGCTAAAAGCCACAAGAAATCCATCAAATAAACCCTCAGCCGATTTGTGCCCGAGCCTACTAATTACTACTACCCCCTCCCCTCCACAATCAACTTTCATACTTCCTCTCTGTAATAATCTGCTAAACATCCACCGCCTGTGGGTCTCATTCAGAACAACCTTTCCCATATTTGTACCCTACCCTAACAACGGCTTCATGATGAGCGAAAAAGATAATTATTGCCGAACGCCAGAATTACCGTAGCTCATCTCAATGTTTATTTAGCTCGCCGGGAATTCTCAGGTGTACTGTACGGTGCTAATGACATCGTCGCGGCAAAGCACACAAAACAGGTACTCGACATGAGAAGAACACAAGCCAGAGCGCGCGCGCCGCTTCTTAGCTGGATCAACGAGCTCTGACAGTGAATCAAGCCGCTATCACTGATCATCCCGCTGGAACGTTTGTAAAAAGCCGCAATTGAGATATTCAGAGAGACACTACGGGAAAAACGTTGATGAACGAACAACGAAGGGAAGAATTTAGCAAAATGCTAACGAAAAAAGCCCTTCAAAATGTTCCGGAACGAGCTAAGCGACTTTTCACTCCACTTCCACTCAATGTCATGGAAAAAACGTATCAATTAAACTTACCCTCGCTCTTATCACGCCTCTTCTTCTTTCGCTTGTGCACCGCATAATTCTCGCGTGCTGACCAACCCGGATATTTCACTTTGTGCTGTTCTCGATCAGCACGGGCCATATCGAAATACCTGGAAGGACCATAAATATTCGCGCAAAACCAGTAATGACTTGAAATGAGCTGAAAGAGCATCACAAAGGGACCCTCCAGAAGGACATTTCCCTCCTGAGTACTGCAGAGCTAGCTTTCAAGAAGTATATGGTGTGATCATGGTAAAAACGATTGCTGTCAAAGGAAAGAGCAGCTGACAGTAAGGAGGCTGTGGACCTCACAACAGCCGGGGTAGTATTCGGTCGCTACGAAAAGGGGCCCATACTCAACCACCAGGGGCTCCTTCTTCGGCATTTTGAAATTATTCCATTGTAAGTTTTTCCGATTCACGAGCGCGCCATACACCCCCTCCCCCTCCTCCAACCCTCCAGAACCCCTAAGCCTCTCGCGTTTGTCCTTGCTAACTGTTACGAGCCAGCTAGTCGCGTTCAGGGTGGCTTCCATGGAAATTTCTTTGAAAAATTTTTCCCGTTCTGGCGCGACGCGCGCATATTCTCCCGACAGCCGGTAGCGGCGCGAATTCTTTGAATCCATGGACTGTTTCTACACCCCCCCCCCTCTCATGACGGAGTAAACTTTTCGAAAATCCCTTCCACTACCAACCCCTGATCATCCTCGAAGTTCTCCCCAAATTCTCTTCCCTTCAACGTCCAAGCAATTTTTCCATGCCCTATTCTTCGAAAAATCCCCCCCCCCCGTTCCTTCAAAAAAACTGCTATCGGACGTGCGGAGGAGGAGGGGGTAGGCATCTACATAAATAATCAGTTATGGTAGGTAAGCACTCCTCCAACCAGGTGATGGGTTGGGGGTAGCACGCGATGAAAAAATAGTCAACTGGAGAAGGGGGATTGAACACTCCCTATTCTCAAGGTCATGTACTACTTTCCTCCCCTTCCATCGACAAGTACGCCAACGATGGGATTCACGATTCTGTACCCTGTTCCTCACATCCTTATGACGTCCCATGAGCTGCAGATCGCTCATGCACTAAACAAAAACACCTACTTTTGCTGTTCTTCCTTGGGTAGATCGTGCCACCGTTTGCCCGAGTTCTTTGTTCAATTCGGCACTTTGTTTTTCTTTATAGCCGAGTTCTTCCATGAGTTTTGGCCGATTCTCCTTCATGAACCACATGAACGCATTCAACGGCTTCTTGATGTGATCTTCCTGAAAAAAATGTGTTTGACAATGAGACCGGAAATAGGGACAGGGCGGTTAGGCACAAATGAAGGAACCTGCTTCACCTTCTTCACTTTCCCATCTCGTGTTCTCCGTAACCCGTCATTCGACATACTGTTAGCCATTGACGTGATCGGTGAGCCAACGAATGGTAACCGCATTTGGTTCATCTGAACTCGGACATTTGAATGGAGCATATTACATCACTGCTGGGAATTCCCCAACGAAAAGGAGGGGATCTTATTCTGATTTTTTTTACCACTGGGATGATGTGCCCTGTCAAAAGCAGGAAAAAAGTGAAAGAAAGCGAAGAACCTCGAAGAAAGCGTCTCTCACTTGATTAAGTGGATTGGATGATCGCATGTTTGCAGCCAGAGGGACGTCCATCTTCATGCCGGCAGCTGCCATACTTCCGTATAATGGACTACATGGGCCGTTCATCATCATCATTTGACGATACATCTCGACGTTATGTGGACTTAACGCCGCTGGCATCATACATGGAACAAATGACGGTGACATCTGCGCCCTCATACCCATACCATACGGTTGCTGAAAGAAATTAAACTTATACAGAATTTATTAAGAGGTAAAAGTGCAAAGATGGTCAAATAGGTAAATCGGATGCATTTCAGACTTCTTGAAGGCTTTCGTGCGCATAAGGGTGCGCTAGACCTTTCGAGCCAGTTACCATAAAAATTCCACTCAACCAGGCTTTACTTTGCAACGAGGGACCACACCGTGAGCGCCCCCGACATTCGAGTCTGAAGATTTTTGCCCGATTTTTTCTATTTCACCGGAAAAAGAAGAGGAGGGCAAGTGGCACTGCTACCTACGCGCGCTTGGAGGTAATATCCCCGATCGCCTCTCGTACGGGCTAACCAATCTTTCCATACCCTTAAGGGCTGGTATCAAATCTTCATGCCCAATTCGCCTGGGAGGGTAAAAAAACTGGCCAGTGCATTGGCTGACAGTAGCGAGCCCTTCTGTAAGACAAATCGCATTCAAACTGCCGTAACGATTCCTAGCAAAAGTAGAGCGCGCGGCGCATCTTAAAGGCGATTGATCAGCGCAGACTTAGCCACTTTTTATCCTTTGGTCAAGAAAAAAAGGATAATGAAGCTCAACCTAGACCAAATGGGCCATTGTCTGCTTGCGATTTATTAGCGACGGAAAGGGCTGAACAAATAAAAATAGCGTAACTGCAAGTGCAGGACCAGCGACGTCGTATATCACTCAGCTCGGCCCTAAGACCTGGAGTGTCAAGGCCAGCCGAGCCCTCAAGTATATCATCAGGATATGAGAATCTTTCCTCAAAGCGACCATCCAATATTCCAGCACACACTGAACGGGGGGGGGGAGCGAGATAGCGAGGATTGGAACCGAAAAATCAAAAGCAGATATCAGTCAATATGACTCCCCACCCATAAAGCTGCCTTGGACCCTTTACGACTCCTCTGATCTCTCAGAGGATTACACAGTGAAGTCCTATACAGGGCCACCCTCCAGCCTGACCAACTACTCACAGAAAGGGGATGACCGGAAGGGTCTGAGTACCCCCTCCCAGGCTCATAATTTGATAAGCCAGTCTTCGATTCAGAAGAACTTCGCTTCCCAGCCGAATATCTTAAGGCCAGATACGATCCCCCCTATTGGCATGTTCTTCCGGTGTGGATGGTACAAGAAAAATCGACTATCAAAAAATTTTTCTCAGGGCAAATTCCACTTCCCCCTCTCCAGCCCAGCGACCTTATACGACCCAACTACTGGGAAATTCCCAAACAGAACGTTGCTACGCAGCAACATCCAATAGAACTATTGAATACCGTATAGATGCGGGGAATCTTTCGCCCAATCACTTAACATATCTATAAAGGCGCAACAGTAATCGCTATGGCGCAGCTTACAGTGCTATTATGCTTGGGAACATTCCCATATCACACATTACCATAAGAACATACAAATTCGCCTGGTTTCTGCTCTTTTTTTGCCACGAAGCTGGGAACTGTTTCCCTAACGATAGCGATGTTCCCAAACTCCTTTTTCAGTCTCTCACAGAGACGTTTCTGTTGAATTTTTCACCAGTCACCCCCATTTGAACAACTCATCCTGAAGGTTCCATCAAAAAAGGTTTCCATTTCCCCCTTGGATGAAAATACCAACAAAACCCGGAGAAAACCATGACCAACTTTCTCTTGAATTTTTCACTCTTAATTCTCCACCATACAGCCTATTAATCACTTCTTACAAAATTTTAATCAAAAAGGTCATGAAAAAGGTTAGAGAGCGATTAGATTCCATTTCATCCAAAAAGTCGAAGAGCATGGTGTGTCCACTACTGCAGTAGTAACGTCTACTCTGTACAAGGTCACCTGATTACTCATTGATAAAACATGACTGCCCAAGTTTTCTCAAAAAATTAAAGGTTCCAGACAACACAACCACGCGAAAATGCTAGAGCGCTTTCTCCTCGGTGAATGCTCTTACCAAGATGGAACGAAGATTCCCCAAAAAAAGGGAAACTTCAGTGCTTTCAGGCTCTCTTTCTTTTTCTGTAGGCGATTTTTCAGATGGTATTGAAGGAATCTGTCTCAGAATCGAATGTCAAAATCGCGCCTGACAAGAAGGAATCCGTGCCAAAAATGAACAAAACGGAACTGTGGAACTTCGAGAACGAGGACGAAAGTTTTCACAGTGAGAATCGGTTCCAGGTCACTACCACTGAGCAGCCAAAGAAGACGATAAGTAACAGCCGTGCTCCAGTGAAAGCTGAACAGTTCAGCACTTTGGTAGTGGTCCTCCGATTATTCCTTATGAGGTTGGATTCAGAATGAAAACATTAACTGGTGTAAAAATTACAGGACAAAGCTCTCTGTGGTAATAACGTTTTTCGGGATGCGCCGCGCATTCCACTTCCACTAAGAATCGCAATTTTTCTTACACAAAGACTCCCAAGGGCGAGCCGTTGAGCAAATTGTGTAGTCTCTTAAAGGCAATTGGCACGATGATTTGGCGCTCGGCCTAAAATGCTAGTAGGGCTTATAGCACGGAAATGGCGAAAGAACGGAGGAGGTACGGTTCAAAACTGCGAAGAAGAGACCTCCGTTCTCAATGTGTTCAAAATCAATTTTGGACGAGTTTCCCGTAGGCATCTTGCCAATAACCGCTACGAAGGATACGGCTGCATATATGTACTCATTATAATCCTGCCAGCATCACGGCCGCTGTGGAAATGTTGCGGCTTGGATAGGGGCCCTTATAAGGACACCATTCTCGAAAAAGGCATTATGCAGGATCGCGGAATTCCGTACTGCCAGGCGTATTAATCCTACTCGTCTTGGGGAATTTATCATGCCAACTGCCCTTTAAGCAATTCTACTTGGAGAATTGCGTGGAACTATCTAGACATTCTCCGAATCTGTTACTCAAACTGATAGCGTTTTATACGATCTATCGATATAGTTCATGTCAATTCTGAACCCACTTGGGAACCCAAAAAGAAGCAAGCTGCAAAGAAGCTTTTGTGACGATTTTGATGTGTAACAGAACAAAACGTGGCATTGACATTTACGGAAAATTCGTGCCGATTCCGACCCGAGAATTCCTTGAACAATTATCACAAGAATGTCGGTGGGGAGGGGAAGGAGGGCAGCACGGACTTCTCAGATTTGGATGGTCGCCTAATTTTTTATCCATTAGTGCTGCTTAGTTCAAGAAGACGAATGGAAAATTACTTTCTTCTTTCCAAACAAGTACTCATGCTCCTGCACGATAAGACTAAATTAGATATATATCGAATCAAGCTGTAGCAACCGTCTACCTAACCCTTTTTCCCAGGCAACCCTTTCCTTTACCCTTTCACCAGATCTAACAATGTCATCAAACGTTCTCGCTCCTTCCTCAACCTGAGCGCCAGCATCCGGGGACAAACAAATTATATTCTCCGGGCCAATTGACCGTATCTTCTCTATGACACATGCACACGGTCTTTGTAGAGGAGAAAGACGACGACGCAATTAGAAAGCGCGCCCCGCTGAGAATCGACGCCACGTGAAACGGCCCTCGTTGTCGCCCTCGGATGGTCCGCCGACCGGCTACCGTATCCCGTCGAGTTGCTTTCCGTGCTTTTCCGACGAGCAACACATTTGGCTGTCGTCCGTATGAACGCGCGCGTGTCAACGCTCACGCGACAAATTGTAGATGCAATTTGACAATTGTCGTCGAATGGGCAGCGGCTGGCGAGAGTCTCGTCGTCGAATTGACGACACGTAATTAAACCGCCGTCACCGGAAACGCCAACCGAGGTGGACACAACGAGATCCGGGACGCCCTAAAACACCGAGGTGCGACACACGAATTGCGTAATGAGCGTGTTTTCGGCGATAAGCCCCCGCCACAAGACAATAGCTAGGCCGGAAGTAAAACCGACTGAATGGCACACAAAACACGTCAATCACCGACATACAGCTGTGACAATCTACCAAAAAATACAGCAATTAAGTATGGCGTTAAATGGTCGGTGGCTTACTGTAGGATAATCACGGACTTGGAAAAGTCACGAAAAATGTTGGAAAAATGAAAATTACTTACTCCCATAATCCACGGCATCATGAACGGTAATCCAAAGCTCGGACTATAGGCGGCTGCATTTTGAAGATTCGCCAAATTGGCGAAACTCGGTGATGGGATCGGCTTCACAAATGCGCCAGTTTTCGAACCTGGAATATCAGGCATTTAGACTTCGAGACTTCCCACTTCTACCCAAGCTGACTCAAACAAATTCAGAAAAAATGACAAAATAATAATTGATAAAATGATGAAATTTGGGGGCAGTTCGGCTTCGAGGGGGCACCGAATGGCGCTCAAAAGCTTGGACAGGTGTTTTTGTAAAGACCTGCAAAGCGCTGCGACCAAAGTACTCACACCATTTCACTCCTTCACAAGAGCTTACAGGTCTTACCAAAGTGAGACTTGTCAGTTAACATAGCAAAAGGAACCTGCGAAAGTGCAAAGTGCCCCCTCCAATCCAAACAGTGCTAAAATTTGCCTTGAAACGTAAATATAACTCTGTGTAAAGGGACAGAATTCGTAGAAAACCCATCAGTACTCCATCAATGCGACGCCATACATCATTCAGAATGTCCGAGTCATTATGTCAACTGTTGTAACACTGAGGCGGAACAGTACTGCCCATTATTTTGATCAATGCCACGGCTGGGCTGGGCTTAGTCAGACCTTTTTCTGAAGACTGAGCTATTCTCCCCTATCGAGAGATTTCCAGAGGTGATATTTCGGCGCACTTTTGGCTTGGTGGGGGCAACAAATGATACTCAATGAGGCTAGTATAGGCCATCTCGGCGAGACTATAAGTGACTCCAACAACACTGTACCGTTTTGCAGCTTCCCACTCTCAGGTGTTAGCCGAGAGAGGGGGAGGGGGGCGTTAAAAGGCGTTTTCGGTCACTAGGATCACGCGAGAATTGTTAATTTTTTCCGTTTCACGTGCGCTTTATATACCGAAATGTTACTGTGGCTGATTC